TTCAAGTCACAGCTTTCTAGCTTATGCACCCAGTATAGCGATATATTCGGATTGGAAACCGAATCAATAACCACAAATAATTTTTATAAACAAAGACTGAGATTAAAAGATGATGAACCAGTCTATATAAAGAACTATCGAAGCCCACATAGTCAGGTGAACGAAATACAAAAGCAAGTAGGAAAATTAATCTCTGACGGTATTGTCGAACCGTCAGTATCCGAATATAATAGCCCATTGTTACTTGTTCCTAAGAAATCATCCCCCGGGTCAAATGTAAAGAAATGGCGATTAGTAATTGACTACCGCCAAATTAATAAAAAATTACTTTCTGATAAATTCCCATTACCTAGAATTGATGATATTTTAGATCAACTAGGTCGAGCTAAATACTTTTCATGTCTTGACTTAATGTCAGGATTCCATCAAATTGAACTAGAAAAAGGTTCAAGAGATATAACGTCTTTTTCAACGAGCAACGGCTCATATCGCTTCACGCGATTACCCTTCGGATTAAAAATAGCTCCTAATTCGTTTCAGAGAATGATGACTATTGCGTTCTCTGGTCTAGAACCTTCTCAAGCATTCCTTTATATGGATGACTTAATTGTAATTGGTTGTTCCGAAAAACATATGCTTAAGAACTTAACAGATGTTTTTGAGAAATGTAGGAAATACAACCTAAAGTTACATCCAGAAAAATGTTCATTTTTTATGCATGAAGTGACTTTTCTAGGTCATAAATGCACTGATAAAGGAATACTTCCAGATGACAAGAAATACGATGTCATTATGAACTACCCAGTTCCGCACGACGCGGACAGTGCTAGACGTTTCGTAGCATTCTGTAACTATTATAGACGTTTTATAAAAAATTTCGCCGACTATTCACGGCACATAACAAGATTATGTAAAAAGAATGTTCCTTTTAAATGGACGGATGAGTGTGAAAATGCATTTCAATATTTAAAAACAAAACTTATGAAACCTACATTGCTACAATATCCAGATTTCACTAAAGAATTCTGTATAATAACAGATGCAAGTAAGCAAGCATGTGGAGCGGTTTAACTCAAAACCACAATGGTCTCCAACTTCCCATTGCATACGCATCAGGAGCATTTACAAAAGGTGAAAGTAACAAATGTACTACTGAGCAGGAATTAGCTGCAATTCATTGGGCGATATTACATTTTAGACCATATATATATGGAAAACATTTCTTAATAAAAACAGACCATAGACCTTTAACATACCTTTTCTCAATGATCAATCCCAGTTCTAAACTATGAGGCTCGAACTAGAAGAATACGACTTTACAGTCGAATATTTAAAGGGAAAAGATAATTATGTAGCCGATGCGTTATCAAGGATAACCATCAAAGATCTACAAAATATAACTGGAAATATATTGAAAGTCACTACTAGATATCAAAATAGACAAAAATTCCGCGCGGAAAATCAAGAACAAGAATTGCCTATGCAATCCTTAAATAAAGCTTCTAAGCCCAACGTATACGACGTCATAAACAATGATGAAGTACGTAAAGTAGTGACCTTGCAGATAAAAAATACGTTATGTTTATTTAAACAAGGCAAAAAAATTACTGCAAGATATGATGTCAGCGATTTATATACTAATGGAGTTATTGACTTAGATCAATTTTTCCAAAGGCTTGAAATGCAAGCCGGTATACATAAAATCAGCCAACTCAAAGTGGCACCGTGGGAAAATATCTTTGAACATACTTCAATAGATAATTTCAAATTAATGGGCAATAAAATCTTGAAAACATTAAGAGTAGCGCTACTCAACCCGGTGACCCAAATAGCAAATTTAAAAGAAAAAGAAGCAATTTTGTCTGCATTTCATGACGATCCAATTCAAGGAGGTCATACTGGCATATCAAAAACTTTGGCCAAAGTAAAAAGACACTATTACTTGAAAAATATGTCTAAAGATATAACTGAGTACGTAAGAAAATGTCAAAAATGCCAAAAAGCCAAAATAACTAAACACACGAAGACCCCTTTAACAATTACTGACACACCAATAAATGCTTTCGACAGAGTGATAGTGGACACTATTGGTCCACTACCAAAATCAGAAAATGGCAATGAGTATGCAGTCACTTTAATATGTGACTTAACTAAGTATTTAGTTGCCATACCTGTTCCGAATAAAAATGCTAATACTGTCGCTAAAGCAATATTTGAATCTTTTATCCTGAAGTACGGTCCAATGAAGACGTTCATTACGGACATGGGAACAGAATATAAGAATTCAATTATAGACGATTTGTGCAAATATTTAAATATTGAAAATATTACATCCACAGCACACCACCACCAGACAGTTGGAACAATAGAAAGAAGTCATAGAACTTTCAATGAGTACATTCGATCTTACATATCGGTTGATAAAACTGATTGGGACGTATGGCTTCAATATTTTGTCTTTTGTTTCAACACGACCCCCTCTATGGCACATACTTATTGTCCATATGAGCTAGTATTCAGTAAAACAAGTAATTTACCAAAACATTTTAATAGCATAGATAGTGTAGAAGCACTATATAATATAGATGACTATGCTAAGGAGAGTAAGTATAGATTAGAAGTAGCCTATAAAAGAGCTAGAGTTATGTTAGAAGCAAATAAGAATAGAAATAAACTACTATACGATCATAAAGCAAATGATATAGATATATCAGTAGGTGACCAAGTTTTATTAAAAAACGAGACAGGTCATAAGTTAGATCCTAAATATACAGGTCCGTATATAGTAACGGAAATAGGAGATAGAGATAACATAGTAATAACAAATAATAAACAAAAGAAACAAACAGTTCATAAGGATAGATTAAAAATCTTTATTTCATAAATTGCACTTAGTATGGCCATACAAAAACACACATACATAGATAAATAAATACACATATTCTCTTAATAATTTCATTTTCTTTGATTCTAATAACAAAATACAAAAAATAATATTAAAAAAAAAAAAAAAAAAAAAAAAAAGTGTATTAATTATTAATTAGAATTAAAGAATATTGTAAAAATCAGAGACTCTTCGATCGTTGGAGCGGCACCATTGCTGCTCCAAATAAACCCTAAAATAAAACTAAATGAAAATAAAATACAAACTTGAAACAATCTTATTTCATAGTCAAATATATATTTAATGAAGTGTATTAAACTTCAAACCGATCGGTGCAGAATTTTTTGAGTTATCGTGGGCACCGTCTTCAAAAAAGTCGTTTTGAGAAAAACGCGTTTAAAGTTTGTAGTAAGGAAATTTGAAGAATAAAAATTGTTTCATGGCACTTACATAGAGTCGTCGATGCCAGCACCATAAAGCAATGTTCCTGCTGCATCTGCGAGATCTAAAGCATCTTTTTGCTCCATTCTTCTCAGAATTCTAGCTTCTTTTGTCTGAAGCGCAGCCTTTTCTTCAGCTTTCAAAATTCGAGATTCGTCGAATGTTTTTACATATTCATGAGCACTTGGGCCGACGTTGATTTTCATCTCTTCAAGAAATGCTAGCAATGCAATATAACCTTCATTGAAGGTGCAAGCAGCTGCATTTGCTGCAATTTCTATTATCGTAGGGCTGCTGGCTAAAACTTTTGGACTAATTCTCCAAATAAGTTGATTAAGGCTTTCATTGTTGTTCTGGGTAAATCCACCAAGACAACGTGGTAGAAGCTCGTCTTTGCTCAAATCTTCATAAATTGGCTCGATTGCTGTTATCACCTCATCCGGAAAAGGTTCATAGCTGTGGTAAAAATCTTCTATTCCAGTGGTGGCCAAAGCTTTTTGATATTCGCACCAAGACTCAGCGCCGGCAGGACATTTATGATGCTGTGGATCGTCGTTCGTGGACTTGTAATGAAGAAAGGTCGCCCAAATCGCATCATTCATTTTTTTCACCGAATCACAATTTCTTCTGATTGCTAAGCCATAATATACCGTTAATTTGTCTATTGTTTTTCCAGTAAGTTTTCCTTTTCCGCCGAGACTTTTGCTCCTTCTTTTTTGACCAGCTTTTTTTCCTGTTTTTATTTCCTTCTCTACTGTTGTGTTTTTAACAACATCACGTAATCGTTTGCCCATTCTTTTTTGAACGTGGCCGACACATTCTTTTTTATGTATTATAAAATCTTCGCCGTATGGTTGAGATTGAACTACGCCGGTGTACGTCTTGCTATCTCCGTCTCCGACATAATATTTATACGTGACGCCGTACTTTTCTTCCGATCGTTGGAACATTTCTTTTATTGCTGAAACTTCCATATTTCCTGCAGGTCCCTCGTGATTTGCTTCACATTCACCAAGTTCTACGTGATTCTCGTGCCATTTTTTGAATTCCACTGAATTTAATTTTGTATCCCAAATTTTACACGTTTGACAGACCCCACTTTTCACGCAAATATCTATCACTTTTCCCGTGTAATATCCAATTAACGAAGAAACACCGTACAATGACGAAAAACCTCGCTTTTGCCACGTGCCATCACCGGAAACAGTCAAATTTTCAGTATTTTCTATTTCTTGTGCTTCGCACGTTTCTTCTTTTTCTTGTGCAGCAGCCATGGAATACAGTGATTTTGCGACGGATTTTATTTGATCACACATGTTTTTTAAATAAAAATTATACACTGCTTTACTTACAAAATTACTTGATATATCCATCAATCCGCAAAATTTATTGCAGCCTGCCAAGCCTAAGCCTAACATAACGAAAGCAAATCTATAATTTACCTCGTACATACGGCCTATTCTTTCACTTGACGGAATATACACAGGCATTTTGCAGTTGTCACATTTTACTTGAATGTTAAGGGGGGGGGGGGGTATGGTATAACAGGCGAAAAAAGAGCACTTTTTAAACAATTTTTTTTTAGGAAACTACTAAATATTTTTCAATTCTTTTTATTTTTACATTATCTAGTAACTTTTGAAGTATTTTTAAGAATTTAAAAATATATATATATCCAGAAATAACGGAGTTGCTGCTGCTTCAGTCAGGCCATGTCAAGAGTTCATCTTTTTACGGTGCCCCGGATTAAAAATCGTAGAATCATCTGAAACACATGGGAATAAAAAAAATTAGTTATTTAGAAGTATACCTGCCAGCCAACGATGCCCTTTCATTAAAAAAAATGTTTCAAATTTTTTTTACGGGCGGTTAAGGTAAAAGTACGTTATTTAGCCTAAAAAAGGCGCCATTTTGTCGTTGTACAATCGATTAGAAGCAAAAAATAAATAAAAGGGGATCGTTGGCTGGTAGTCAAATATATATTTAATGAAGTGTATTAAACTTCAAACCGATCGGTGCAGAATTTTTTGAGTTATCGTGGGCACCGTCTTCAAAAAAGTCGTTTTGAGAAAAACGCGTTTAAAGTTTGTAGTAAGGAAATTTGAAGAATAAAAATTGTTTCATGGCACTTACATAGAGTCGTCGATGCCAGCACCATAAAGCAATGTTCCTGCTGCATCTGCGAGATCTAAAGCATCTTTTTGCTCCATTCTTCTCAGAATTCTAGCTTCTTTTGTCTGAAGCGCAGCCTTTTCTTCAGCTTTCAAAATTCGAGATTCGTCGAATATTTTTACATATTCATGAGCACTTGGGCCGACGTTGATTTTCATCTCTTCAAGAAATGCTAGCAATGCAATATAACCTTCATTGAAGGTGCAAGCAGCTGCATTTGCTGCAATTTCTATTATCGTAGGGCTGCTGGCTAAAACTTTTGGACTAATTCTCCAAATAAGTTGATTAAGGCTTTCATTGTTGTTCTGGGTAAATCCACCAAGACAACGTTGTAGAAGCTCGTCTTTGCTCAAATCTTCATAAATTGGCTCGATTGCTGTTATCACCTCATCCGGAAAAGGTTCATAGCTGTGGTGAAAATCTTCTATTCCAGTGGTGGCCAAAGCTTTTTGATATTCGCACCAAGACTCAGCGCCGGCAGGACATTTATGATGCTGTGGATCGTCGTTCGTGGACTTGTAATGAAGAAAGGTCGCCCAAATCGCATCATTCATTTTTTTCACCGAATCACAATTTCTTCTGATTGCTAAGCCATAATATACCGTTAAATTGTCTATTGTTTTTCCAGTAAGTTTTCCTTTTCCGCCGAGACTTTTGCTCCTTCTTTTTTGACCAGCTTTTTTTCCTGTTTTTATTTCCTTCTCAACTGTTGTGTCTTTAACAACATCACGTAATCGTTTGCCCATTCTTTTTTGAACGTGGCCGACACATTCTTTTTTATGTATTATAAAATCTTCGCCGTATGGTTGAGATTGAACTACGCCGGTGTACGTCTTGCTATCTCCGTCTCCGACATAATATTTATACTTGACGCCGTACTTTTCTTCCGATCGTTGGAACATTTCTTTTATTGCTGAAACTTCCATATTTCCTGCAGGTCCCTCGTGATTTGCTTCACATTCACCAAGTTCTACGTGATTCTCGTGCCATTCTTCGAATTCCACTGAATTTAATTTTGTATCCCAAATTTTACACGTTTGACAGACCCCACTTTTCACGCAAATATCTATCACTTTTCCCGTGTAATATCCAATTAACGAAGAAACACCGTACAATGACGAAAAACCTCGCTTTTGCCACGTGCCATCACCGGAAACAGTCAAATTTTCAGTATTTTCTATTTCTTGTGCTTCGCACGTTTCTTCTTTTTCTTGTGCAGCAGCCATAGAATACAGTGATTTTGCGACGGATTTTATTTGATCACACATGTTTTTTAAATAAAAATTATACACTGCTTTACTTACAAAATTACTTGATATATCCATCAATCCGCAAAATTTATTGCAGCCTGCCAAGCCTAAGCCTAACATACGCATAACGAAAGCAAATCTATAATTTGCCTCGTACATACGGCCTATTCTTTCACTTGACGGAATATACACAGGCATTTTGCAGTTGTCACATTTTACTTGAATGTTAAGGGGGGTATGGTATAACAGGCGAAAAAACAGCACTTTTTAAACAATTTTTTTTTAGGAAACTACTAAATATTTTTCAATTTTTTTTATTTTTACATTATCTAGTAACTTTTGAAGTATTTTTAAGAATTTAAAAATATATATATATCCAGAAATAACGGAGTTGCTGCTGCTTCAGTCAGGCCATGTCAAGAGTTCATCCTTTTACGGTGCCCCGGATTAAAAATCGTAGAATCATCTGAAACACATGGGAATAAAAAAAATTAGTTATTTAGAAGTATACCTGCCAGCCAACGATGCCCTTTCATTAAAAAAAATTTTTTTAATTTTTTTTACGGGCGGTTAAGGTAAAAGTACGTTTTTTAGCCTAAAAAAGGCGCCATTTTGTCGTTGTACAATCGATTAGAAGCAAAAAATAAATAAAAGGGGATCATTGGCTGGTAGTCAAATATATATTTAATGAAGTGTATTAAACTTCAAACCGATCGGTGCAGAATTTTTTGAGTTATCGTGGGCACCGTCTTCAAAAAAGTCGTTTCGAGAAAAACGCGTTTAAAGTTTGTAGTAAGGAAATTTGAAGAATAAAAATTGTTTCATGGCACTTACATAGAGTCGTCGATGCCAGCACCATAAAGCAATGTTCCTGCTGCATCTGCGAGATCTAAAGCATCTTTTTGCTCCATTCTTCTCAGAATTCTAGCTTCTTTTGTCTGAAGCGCAGCCTTTTCTTCAGCTTTCAAAATTCGAGATTCGTCGAATGTTTTTACATATTCATGAGCACTTGGGCCGACGTTGATTTTCATCTCTTCAAGAAATGCTAGCAATGCAATATAACCTTCATTGAAGGTGCAAGCAGCTGCATTTGCTGCAATTTCTATTATCGTAGGGCTGCTGGCTAAAACTTTTGGACTAATTCTCCAAATAAGTTGATTAAGGCTTTCATTGTTGTTTTGGGTAAATCCACCAAGACAACGTTGTAGAAGCTCGATTTTGCTCAAATCTTCATAAATTGGCTCGATTGCTGTTATCACCTCATCCGGAAAAGGTTCATAGCTGTGGTGAAAATCTTCTATTCCAGTGGTGGCCAAAGCTTTTTGATATTCGCACCAAGACTCAGCGCCGGCAGGACATTTATGATGCTGTGGATCGTCGTTCGTGGACTTGTAATGAAGAAAGGTCGCCCAAATCGCATCATTCATTTTTTTCACCGAATCACAATTTCTTCTGATTGCTAAGCCATAATATACCGTTAATTTGTCTATTGTTTTTCCAGTAAGTTTTCCTTTTCCGCCGAGACTTTTGCTCCTTTCATTTTTGACCAGCTTTTTTTCCTGTTTTTATTTCCTTCTCTACTGTTGTGTTTTTAACAACATCACGTAATCGTTTGCCCATTCTTTTTTGAACGTGGCCGACACATTCTTTTTTATGTATTATAAAATCTTCGCCGTATGGTTGAGATTGAACTACGCCGGTGTACGTCTTGCTATCTCCGTCTCCGACGTAATATTTATACTTGATGCCGTACTTTTCTTCCGATCGTTGGAACATTTCTTTTATTGCTGAAACTTCCATATTTCCTGCAGGTCCCTCGTGATTTGCTTCACATTCACCAAGTTCTACGTGATTCTCGTGCCATTCTTTGAATTCCACTGAATTTAATTTTGTATCCCAAATTTTACACGTTTGACAGACCCCACTTTTCACGCAAATATCTATCACTTTTCCCGTGTAATATCCAATTAACGAAGAAACACCGTACAATGACGAAAAACCTCGCTTTTGCCACGTGCCATCACCGGAAACAGTCAAATTTTCAGTATTTTCTATTTCTTGTGCTTCGCACGTTTCTTCTTTTTCTTGTGCAGCAGCCATGGAATACAGTGATTTTGCGACGGATTTTATTTGATCACACATGTTTTTTAAATAAAAACAAGGGAGAACGCTATAGTCGAGTACCTCGACTATCAGATACCCGTTACTCAGCTAAATGGAGATATGCAAGCAGCAAAGCGAGATTAAAATGCGCCACCTACCGGCGGTATACAGATTTAAGCGTTATGGGCGTTAGAGTGGGCGTGGGCGTTTTTTTTTGGATCAATCGATAGGTATTGACGAGACCAATATGGGGGGTATGGTATAACAGGCGAAAAAAGAGCACTTTTTAAACAATTTTTTTTTTAGGAAACTACTAAATATTTTTCAATTCTTTTTATTTTTACATTATCTAGTAACTTTTGAAGTATTTCTAAGAATTTAAAAATATATATATATCCAGAAATAACGGAGTTGCTGCTGCTTCAGTCAGGCCATGTCAAGAGTTCATCCTTTTACGGTGCCCCGGATTAAAAATCGTAGAATCATCTGAAACACATGGGATTCAAAAAAATTAGTTATTTAGAAGTATACCTGCCAGCCAACGATGCCCTTTCATTAAAAAAAATTTTTTTTATTTTTTTTACGGGTGGTTAAGGTAAAAGTACGTTTTTTAGCCTAAAAAAGGCGCCATTTTGTCGTTGTACAATCGATTAGAAGCAAAAAATAAATAAAAGGGGATCGTTGGCTGGTAGTAAAATATATATTTAATGAAGTGTATTAAACTTCAAACCGATCGGTGCAGAATTTTTTGAGTTATCGTGGGCACCGTCTTCAAAAAAGTCGTTTTGAGAAAAACGCGTTTAAAGTTTGTAGTAAGGAAATTTGAAGAATAAAAATTGTTTCATGGCACTTACATAGAGTCGTCGATGCCAGCACCATAAAGCAATGTTCCTGCTGCATCTGCGAGATCTAAAGCATCTTTTTGCTCCATTCTTCTCAGAATTCTATCTTCTTTTGTCTGAAGCGCAGCCTTTTCTTCAGCTTTCAAAATTCGAGATTCGTCGAATGTTTTTACATATTCATGAGCACTTGGGCCGACGTTGATTTTCATCTCTTCAAGAAATGCTAGCAATGCAATATAACCTTCATTGAAGGTGCAAGCAGCTGCATTTGCTGCAATTTCTATTATCGTAGGGCTGCTGGATGGTATAACAGGTGAAAAAAGAGCACTTTTTAAACAATTTTTTTTTAGGAAACTACTAAATATTTTTCAATTCTTTTTATTTTTACATTATCTAGTAACTTTTGAAGTATTTTTAAGAATTTAAAAATATATATACATCCAGAAATAACGGAGTTGCTGCTGCTTCAGTCAGGCCATGTCAAGAGTTCATCCTTTTACGGTGCCCCGGATTAAAAATCGTAGAATCATCTGAAACACATGGGATTCAAAAAAATTAGTTATTTAGAAGTATACCTGCCAGCCAACGATGCCCTTTCATTAAAAAAAATTTTTTAAATTTTTTTTACGGGCGGTTAAGGTAAAAGTACGTTTTTTAGCCTAAAAAAGGCGCCATTTTGTCGTTGTACAATCGATTAGAAGCAAAAAATAAATAAAAGGGGATCGTTGGCTGGTAGTCAAATATATATTTAATGAAGTGTATTAAACTTCAAACCGATCGGTGCAGAATTTTTTGAGTTATCGTGGGCACCGTCTTCAAAAAAGTCGTTTTGAGAAAAACGCGTTTAAAGTTTGTAGTAAGGAAATTTGAAGAATAAAAATTGTTTCATGGCACTTACATAGAGTCGTCGATGCCAGCACCATAAAGCAATGTTCCTGCTGCATCTGCGAGATCTAAAGCATCTTTTTGCTCCATTCTTCTCAGAATTCTAGCTTCTTTTGTCTGAAGCGCAGCCTTTTCTTCAGCTTTCAAAATTCGAGATTCGTCGAATGTTTTTACATATTCATGAGCACTTGGGCCGACGTTGATTTTCATCTCTTCAAGAAATGCTAGCAATGCAATATAACCTTCATTGAAGGTGCAAGCAGCTGCATTTGCTGCAATTTCTATTATCGTAGGGCTGCTGGCTAAAACTTTTGCACTAATTCTCCAAATAAGTTGATTAAGGCTTTCATTGTTGTTCTGGGTAAATCCACCAAGACAACGTTGTAGAAGCTCGTCTTTGCTCAAATCTTCATAAATTGGCTCGATTGCTGTTATCACCTCATCCGGAAAAGGTTCATAGCTGTGGTGAAAATCTTCTATTCCAGTGGTGGCCAAAGTTTATTGATATTCGCACCAAGACTCAGCGCCGGCAGGACATTTATGATGCTGTGGATCGTCGTTCGTGGACTTGTAATGAAGAAAGGTCGCCCAAATCGCATCATTCATTTTTTTCACCGAATCACAATTTCTTCTGATTGCTAAGCCATAATATACCGTTAATTTGTCTATTGTTTTTCCAGTAGGTTTTCCTTTTCCGCCGAGACTTTTGCTCCTTCTTTTTTGACCAGCTTTTTTTTCCTGTTTTTATTTCCTTCTCTACTGTTGTGTTTTTAACAACATCACGTAATCGTTTGCCCATTCTTTTTTGAACGTGGCCGACACATTCTTTTTTATGTATTATAAAATCTTCGCCGTATGGTTGAGATTGAACTACGCCGGTGTACGTCTTGCTATCTCCGTCTCCGACATAATATTTATACTTGACGCCGTACTTTTCTTCCGATCGTTGGAACATTTCTTTTATTGCTGAAACTTCCATATTTCCTGCAGGTCCCTCGTGATTTGCTTCACATTCACCAAGTTCTACGTGATTCTCGTGCCATTCTTCGAATTCCACTGAATTTAATTTTGTATCCCAAATTTTACACGTTTGACAGACCCCACTTTTCACGCAAATATCTATCACTTTTCCCGTGTAATATCCAATTAACGAAGAAACACCGTACAATGACGAAAAACCTCGCTTTTGCCACGTGCCATCACCGGAAACAGTCAAATTTTCAGTATTTTCTATTTCTTGTGCTTCGCACGTTTCTTCTTTTTCTTGTGCAGCAGCCATGGAATACAGTGATTTTGCGACGGATTTTATTTGATCACACATGTTTTTTAAATAAAAACAAGGAAGAACGCTATAGTCGAGTACCTCGACTATCAGATACCCGTTACTCAGCTAAATAGAGATATGCAAGTAGCAAAGCGAGATTAAAATGCGCCACCTACCGGCGGTATACAGATTTAAGCGTTATGGGCGTTAGAGTGAGCGTGTCAAATTTTTTTTTGGATCAATCGATAGGTAATGACGAGACGAATACATTTCAGTTAAAATTTTTTATCTAGCATAAAAATTGTGGGCGTCACAGGTTTTCGCGGTTTGTGGGCGTTAAAGTGGGCGTGGCAAACTTTTTTTTAGGACAATCGATAGGTATTGATGAGAACATTACATTTCAGTTAAAATTTGTATTCTAGCATCAAAACTGTAGGAGCCACAGTTTTGGGCGGTTTGTGGGCGTTAGAGTGGGCGTGGCAGTCTACTGAAACAAACTTGCGCTGCGTAAGAAGCTCAGGAATCTTTACGCCAAATCTCAATAGCCTAGCTCTCATAGTTTCCGAGATCTCAGCGTTCATCCGGACAGACAGACGGACAGACGGACATGGCTAGATCGACTCGGCTAGTGATCCTGATCAAGAATATATATACTTTATGGGGTCGGAAACGCTTCCTTCTGCCTGTTACATACTTTCCGACGAATCTAGAATACCCTTTTACTCTACGAGTAACGGGTATAATTATACACTGCTTTACTTACAAAATTACTTGATATATCCATCAATCCGCAAAATTTTTTGCAGCCTGCCAAGCTTAAGCCTAACATACGCATAACGAAAGCAAATCTATAATTTACCTCGTACATACGGCCTATTCTTAAACTTGACGGAATATACACAGGCATTATGCAGTTGTCACATTTTACTTGAATGTTAAGGGGGGGGGTATGGTATAACAGGCGAAAAAAGAGCACTTTTTAAACAATTTTTTTTTAGGAAACTACTAAATATTTTTCAATTCTTTTTATTTTTACATTATCTAGTAACTTTTGAAGTATTTTTAAGAATTTAAAATATATATATATCCAGAAATAACGGAGTTGCTGCTGCTTCAGTCAGGCCATGTCAAGAGTTCATCCTTTTACGGTGCCCCGGATTAAAAATCGTAGAATCATCTGAAACACATGGGATTCAAAAAAATTAGTTATTTAGAAGTATACCTGCCAGCCAACGATGCCCTTTCATTAAAAAAAATTTTTTAAATTTTTTTTACGGGCGGTTAAGGTAAAAGTACGTTTTTTAGCCTAAAAAAGGCGCCATTTTGTCGTTGTACAATCGATTAGAAGCAAAAAATAAATAAAAGGGGATCGTTGGCTGGTAGTCAAATATATATTTAATGAAGTGTATTAAACTTCAAACCGATCGGTGCAGAATTTTTTGAGTTATCGTGGGCACCGTCTTCAAAAAAGTCGTTTTGAGAAAAACGCGTTTAAAGTTTGTAGTAAGGAAATTTGAAGAATAAAATTGTTTCATGGCACTTACATAGAGTCGTCGATGCCAGCACCATAAAGCAATGTTCCTGCTGCATCTGCGAGAT